TGATCGGGGCACTTGTGATTTCATTGATTTAGTTCGCACGAATCGTCCGACGGATCGCGGACTCTGACCTCAGCCTTATGGAGCTGTCCCATCTGTCCTGTTGACCTCGGGAACCTCGTTGTTGGTTTTCGCAAAAATATGCTGACATCGCTTTGAACAATCACCATGGATTCAAAGTAGTCATTCATATTTCGGCTTTGGGCATGGACTGGCTTTTGAGTTATTGGCTACTTGGTGGGTGTAGATATTGTGAGAAAATAGTCCATTTTCAAGTATATTGATTGAAACTTGACATCAACCCTAGTAACGGTTAGCATTCTGTGTCGTCTGCATTACATGCAGCGAGCCAAAAAGCTCGGCTAAAGCGAGAGGAAACCGAGGGTGTCTTAGTACTCATCATATCAACCATGTCTTAATTATTTAACTGCTGCCTGCCTTATCTCCTTGCTCATTGTTCTCACTTTAACTGGCTTACGTCGGCTTCTTCAGGTGAAACTCAAAAAATCCACTTCGACTGTCTGAATCGCGGATTGATCGCTGTTGTCTGCTACTACGATGTGCATAGACTACTCGCTGTCCTTCTGAGAACTATCTTGGATTGGGACAAAGAGACAATGCATGAGAGCTTACGAGCGTTTATCGAGCAGAATTTCGTTCAGCGCACCATGTTTCAGCATCTTCTTCGTGAGTCTTTTCTATAACCACGATTAATATCCAATTTGTCAAGAAAATAAAAACAATTCCCTTTCTTGTTCTTCAATTAGATGTATATCGTTAATCCATTCTTGTGTTTTCAGAGCTCCAAGCCAGCTTCAGCGTGGCATCAGAGTTTCATATGTTGTCACAGCCGCACGTGAACGGTCTGGGTGGTCCCAAACATCAAACATTGGTTTGTTCATTGAGATTCTAAAAGACCAGTGCTTCTATTAACATTTTTGGATTCTAGCTGAGGAATGTTATCGAAGAAATACGAGAAAATGCTGCTGAAGCCTTGTATTCATTATGCGAATGGGGAGCTGAGCATGCAAATGAGTTCCTGATGGATGTGTATCCTATTCTCAAGGTAGCGATTTCTGTATCGAAGTGGTTTACCACTAATATCTTTCCTGGTTTGCTCTCACTGTGGGAAAAACAACTGCTGATAGTTAGTAAGACGGTGAAAAACAACATCCTGTATGTGACTGGAGAAAGCACATGTATATTAGATTGTTCTAGGCTTTATTCATTATGACTGATATTTTTTCCGCGGTTGTGGTGTATGTTACAGCAGTCTTCGAAACAGTTCTTGTAACTTTTTGACTTGTTGTCACATAGATGAGATGTGGTGTTTAGGGCGTTCCTCTAGCAGAAAAATTTCTGGCTCATCACTTATCAGCTTGGATATGCCTGGTGAAGCTGACCTCTCAGAATGTCTTATCTCAAAGTGAGTTGCATGTTTATCTTTTCATCTTACCATTAGACCTTATTCAATGTAAACGACTACAATTAGTAATAATAATTTTCCTGACCCTGCTTCCATCGCGGTTCTTCGTGAACACTTTGTCCCTGTCGTAATTTGATCGTGCATGTGGTGTATTTTGCTGGATGAACTAATCATTAGGCAGGCGTCAGAATTTGTACCAATCGTTAGCGATTCGTTATTGATTGGACGAACTCAGACACTGCCTTACATCATCAAGACCATGTTTAACTCAGCTCACCTTTCTAATAACAGGAGAGAAAATCATGTTGAAGTTCTTGTTTCGAAATTTCTGAGAGATGGTCTGAAATAAATAACCGTGTCGGCGGGGGTTGTTCCTCCACCAGTTTTGTGTCGCTTGGTTCCGTCCCAGAGGCCGGACGCATAGTCGGTCGGACGACAGCAACGACTGCAAGTGTCGCACAGCATTGGGTGCGTATCGATCTGCGACACCTGCGGTCGTTGCTGTCGTCCGACCGCTGCTGTCGCAGATCGATACGCACCCGATGCTGTGCGACACTTGCAGTCGTTGCTGTCGTCCGACCGACTATGCGTCCGGCCAGTCTGGATGTCTTTTTTAGCGAACACGGCAGCTGCAGTGCTTTCTAATTTCGTGAAAGAAATCCGCAACGAAACAGTGTGGAGTGATCAATCAGTATGTGGAACTGCACAACTAGCATGTGCAATCGCTCTACGCTCACTTGCCGTCAGCCCAGCTGATCATTTGAGTGAGTTTCGTTCTTCTGCTTCAGCTTTTACACCATTGCTTTGAATTCTTATATTCCATTTACGAAAATTTTTTGTTGCTCTCCGTGCCTCATGAAACGTGACCAACCTTCGCTTTCTTCGAAATTTTTGATTTGTTACCTTATCAGTAGCAGATTTCACTGAAAAAGTGACCATCAGTATTGGCTGAGAAGTCCTTGCGCGATTAATTTATATTCTCTATTTCACAGATATCACGAATGTAGAAGTAGACGTGGAGAAGGTGGTTGATCGAGCTGTGCGTAACATGGCGATTGTTATTCAGTCTTCATTGTGTAATTGGCCGACGAGAACGGCGTGCTGCCCGGGGCCGGCCGGCGGCGGGGGGGTGGGGGCAGATCGTTGCTGGTAGCATTTTTATTTCGATATTTTTCCCCTAATTCTAGTCTGCTGATAACATGAGTTATCGATCTTGCGTTGCTGGTTTGATTGAATGTAGTAAAGGATTTTGGGCGAAAGATGTCGGACGAATCGGCGAGGTGCGGAATAGTTAACCAATTTGAGCGTGTCGAGTGTAGAATTCAGTGTTGTGTAGTAGGACTAGGAGATTTTGTTTGTACATTTTATTCTCTCATGGACATATTTCCAGTGCTTGATTTAGTTGTAAAGATGTCCTTGATCAATGAAACATTTTCATACGTACTTTCCAGATCAGATTACTTCAATGGCCAGGTTGTGTCTACACTGTCGGCGTGGTAGATAGAACGCGTTGCCACTGAAACAGCTAATCGCGCGCTTCTTCCGAAAGTAGCTTCTATGGCTACTTTTACTTATTTTTATGCATTATGCAATACACTTCTTTTCTTACGGTAGTGTGTGCATTTCAGACTGTTATATTTTGACTGGGTTTCGGTTCGTGGTACTTTGTTTGGGCTGACTTCCCTCCTTAAGTGAGAACAATTTTTTAACCGCATGCGCGGCTGCTCACAATTGTTAAAACGACGTTTCGATTTTTTTTTGCATTCCATCAGGTGCCAAAAATAGCCGAAACTTTTGATGTTCAGTTACCTGACCGAAATGGTGAATACTGGTACCTTACAAATGAAAACCTTTGAGCTTTTGCGGGCGCTCAGCTTTTCTCTGGATTCATTGTCGCCTCTCTTCGAACTTTAAGATAAAAGCAACCGCAGTTTTTCTCCTTATTCGAAGTGGTGTTGTTTTTAGTTTATTTTTCTTTTGATGAATTGCAATGCTTGAGAGCTAATAAACGCTGAACGTTTTTCAGCTTATGGAGATCGAGCGGAATTCCGAAGATGAATTGACATGGGTAGATGAAATGTCAGAGAAAGGGCAACAGGTAGGACTAGAGCATTATTTTATACGAAATTAGCTGTTGTTTCCCAAGATATTATAATGTTCCATTACTTATCTTCAGGCTACTCCTGCCTTGCACTACGAGAATCTTCTTCGATGTATCACGGATCTTTACCAGATTGTTGACGATCCGAAAGCCAGTGAGAGCGTGAAGTCGTACATCGTGGAATTGAGTATAGCGTTTAGTAGCTCGGGATCTGTAAGTTATTCTGCATGATTTTTTTTGTGGATTGCAACAATTGTTCTTCATGTTTTAGATGGAGCTATGTCGTTTTATCGAGCGCGCTCGACTTCCGCACCACGTGGTTCATGCTGTTGCCTACCTTGATCTCCTATGTGCCATATGCCGCACACGTCAAGTTGCTGCGTTTATTTTTGATGTGTTCGCTCGAGTACCAGCTCACGATGGTCAGTTATTATATTACCATACCTTCACGATTACTGTTTACCGTCAGTTGTGCTTGAATGATCATGTCTTTAAATTCTCACCCCGCCCAACTTTCCTCCTAATTCCAGTCTTCTTTACCTGCCCTTTCCTCTTTCATGATGGAGAATTTCTTTAGAGGGATACGTTGGATGGGACCATGTAATGTCAGCGTTGCGATCATACGAGAGATTGTTCCGAGAAAGACCTGGTGGAACGTCGATGTTTGGGTAAGACTTTAGGTGCTTGAATCTAGGATGTTTGCAGAAGAATACGTGCTCATCTTCAGACATTCCTTATCTCAACAACAACCCAAGGCTGTCATTCCACCACGAGAACTTATAGGAATGATCACATGGATCAACCTTTCGAGGATTGTTATAAGCTTGGTATGTTTTTGCGACAATTTCACTAAGGATACTGCTTTCATTTTCGTAACTTTTCTTTCAGGACGAAGAAGCAGCTGAAGTATTCCTGGAAGAACGTCAGTGGGCAGTTCTAGATGCTGCATTAGGAGTAGTGACGGCCCCTGTTCCTCTGTCTCTAAAAGGAGCTTTGTTGAGACTGATAGCGGCATTGGCGAAGAGGGAAGCATCTGCGCATAGGTACGTCTTTTGTGTAGTTTATGACAAGATTCAAGTTCATTGTGAAATTTTAAGGATTTGGACAGCTTTAAATGCTCATCAATTGCTCACATTTGCAGAGAATGGAGCTTTGTTGGGTTTGCAGGTGTGTTTTCACTCCATTTGTGGTTTAGGCTTCTTTTTGCTCAACAGTGAGTGGAAGCCGTGAATGTATGATCTAGTCTCAAAATTTCCTTCTATTTTTTAATCAAGACGCGGCCAAAGTAGCGTTGCTTAATAGAGCATGAATAAAGGGTATGTAGAAAAGCATGTTTGACCTAAAAATCGAATCGTTTAGAAAGAACTCGAAGAGCGCGAATGCACTGAGGAGATGTTCGACGCTTCTCTTGGATTGGTGAACGTTTTGCGATCACTTCTGTCGCATACACACATGTAAGAAATTCTTCTTCTAGAGGTTTTTGAAGAGCCTATGAAAGGTTTGTTGACTAATTCTGATAGAATTTACCTTATTTTTTGAGGAAGTTTTTAGAACAATACCTGAAATTGCGGCTCCGTATCTACAGTTTCTCACGAAATCCATAGTGTCCCAGATGGGATCACGATCGTATAAGGATATCGAGCAGTTTGTGAGTCTTTACATAACCTGCCTTTTTGCCTTTAACTTTCTAAGTATTCCTATTTTTTCTTTACTATGATTTTTCTTGTTTTCTTCTCATTCAAGTGTTTTCTTGTTGTTAGTTCATGGATCGCCTGCTTTCTATACAGTCCAAATCGTGGTAGATGTAAGAAAAATCGTCAGCGAGATCATTTTCGGTCCATTTTCCGTGATGGCAAGGTTATGCAGTTTGCCACGAAAACGGCGGGGGAAAGGGTTATTTGCGAAGCCATGACGGGTGGAAGCTAATTAGGATGCAGAGTGGATTAAGTTACGATTGAAAAGTGTAAAACCCAAAGGAATCTTGATTCCGAAGAATGGGACTCATTTCTATTGAATGTTCTCTTCTTGAATTTTTTTAAAATTTCTCCGGCTTGGGATTTTACGTTTTTTTTTTTGAAAAAAAAAGCATTCTCTGATCTCTGTTCCTTTTTGTTTACGTGGACTTTCCTTCTAATGGTCTTCCTTGATTTGGAAGATGATTAATTTCTTTATACTATCAGATCCAAAGTTCAACAAAGTGCAATGAATCCTTTTATTTTTAGTGGTCATTAAAGTCAAATATTGAGTGTGGTCGAGGAGAGATTAAGCATCAAAGTGACCAGAGTGGTTGTGACCGACAAACATTCGTGAGAAGTCCATTCTACTCGAATATGGGCGAGTGAATAAAGTATAACCGGAGACTTTGGACTCAATGCATTTGTCTTGAAGCATTGGTCGGAGCCCTTCGCCGGCTGAGTCGCTCCATGTGCTGATAAGAGTGATAGCATCAGGGTCCTAAAATAATTTGTGGGAGATAGTGCTTACTTTCTAATGGAAGGCTGGCTTACCTTTTCTAATATTTTGATGAGCAGGGGCTGAATGACACTGAAAGCTTCATCTATTCCTTCAGCGTACACTGGGGCGATTTTGAAGAGGTGCTTGCCTTGTTCACCCGTGGATGTCATAGAAGCGAATCCTCGAATTTGAGCTGTGGAGTCAGTGAGGATTGCACCTTCTGTGAAGTCGAGCTCGAAGTGAAGGCGAAGTAGATGAGATCGGTCACTCCCGGAAACTTCGTTGGAATACGAAAGCATTCCTTCGTACTCTTTGTCATTCAAATCGCTCACAAGTTTGGTTGTAAAGTGCTGAAATAACCGAAGGTTGACCATGCGTTTCTTTCAAATACTGTAGTAACGATTGCAAATGGGGGAAACTGTTTCAAATGACCTATTGTCCCGTCTAACTATACCTTAACACCTAAACTGGCCCCTTACACGTTGTGGCGCTTCTGCCATAAGGTTAGAATCGCGATAGTGTTCCTCCTTTTGTTTATCTTCTAAAACCTTATTAAAAACGCCTCTCAAACATTAAAGAGAGGGAGAGTACGAGATTTTGAGCGAATACGAAAATTCGTTGGAAGGCTTACTGGTATGTCGACTAAAATTATCTTTTTTTCTCTCCCTCTGTTCTCTTATCCCTCTCTTGCTCTCTATCTTCGAGCTACTCAAAAGTTCTAGCCATCCTTCTTAATTGGACTTTAAAGCAACAGTCCCAGCAGGGTTTTTACCTTCGACACTAATGGTGTGGAACGATGCGCTAGCCCTAGTCAAGAACATAAGAAGTGTGACTGAACAAAAAACTCACCTTGGAAAGCCGCTAGAAAGGGAGCTGAACGGCTTCGAAGTGGGCGTGGTTGGAAGTCGGCCGAGGGGATTGCAGCCGACTGAGCAACCACGCGCCGACTGAGCAACCACGCGAACTTCAAATCCGTACAGCTCAGCGGTTTTTCAAGGTGAGTTTATTGTTCAGTCACACTTCTTATGCTCATGGCTAGGTCTGGCGCATCGTTAAACGCCA